GGTATTTTTCGAGGGGGAAAAAGCCACGACATTCCGAAAGGGCGCATTTTCGCGAGAAGAGAGCTGCTATCCACGCGTTATTACGCCTCTAGGAGGTACAACCCGCTCGAGGCATATGCGGGCCACAAGCTTGTCCCCGTCCCTCTTTCGCTCGTAGTTTCGCCTCGTGGTTCATGTATTTATGCATTTCCAGCCAGCGCCGCTTCTTCGCTAGACTCGGCGGCCGCGTACACACGCGTGGACCAGCGCCATTGTGCGGCGGCCGATTTGCATCTATTGCTCCTCGATGATGCGCCGTGAAAGATGGCCGAGCGAGGGGTGCGAGCGCACCCAAGACGCTGAATCGCTTTTAAATTAGCCACGAGTTTCGGGTTAACTGTGCACGGCGTGTCTGCGTACCGAATTACCCTATCCTTTTAATTTTTGGTGGAGGACAATAGGACTTGTACCTTTTCCAATATAGGACGTTGATGATAGAGATATATATACGAACTCGAAAATCTTGCGTTATAAATTTTTAATTAACTATACGTGGATATATTGAAGATGGAACTATAAATGAAACATGGTGCAAGTGTCAAAAAGAGTGAGTAGAATTACGAAAAGTGCCCAACGTTTCCTAAGAAATTTCTAAAATATCAGAGAAAATTCTAGGAATGGAAATGGACGAGAAAATAACTATCATACAAAAGTCGTCGAAGAAAAAATTGGGAAAGTATTTACAATTATTAAATAACGCAAAAATATCGTAAATATTGCCTCACGAATTTATTAATTCTACTTACAACTTTATTAAGAAATTATCCAACCTAATTTCCAATCCGAAAGAACGGGCCACGGTAATGATATTAATAAAGCACGTGTTCCGCGAGGAGGTTAATTAAACGAAAGATGATTCTTTAAAACTATGCGAGGAACTCGATCCACGTCGGGAAATTCGAATCGTCGGTACCTCGTGCATGGTTACAGTTTTATAATTAATCGTAACGTTAGTCAGACTGCAAACAATTACGACGCGCGAGCGTTCTCGCGGTAATTTTGTCGAGCCCGGGTGCAAAATATTATCGCGTTAATTGTTATCAGGATTTTCGAACAATTACACGGGCCGTGGGACGGGCGTCGAAGCAATTTTCCATCCTCCAGTGAAGCTGCCTCTCTTTCGCGCCACCAACACCACGTTCGTTGCTTTTCATTATTCAACCGCCATATTTACTCATTGAATTCAATTCGGATTCACTTATGGTATGATTTACTCAGCGAAGGCGTACCTGAGGATGGTGATGGGAATTTATTGGAGACGGAGGTCGCCCTGAATACGGGCAAGGAAAATGCAGACAGAGAGAGTGAGAGAAAGGGCGAGGATGGGCGAAGAGAGGTCGTCGAAAGGGACAACGGGCAACGAAGGGAGAGGAAAATAAAGGGCGCGTCCTTTTCTCATATTCCGCATGCCATATGGTAGCTCGTGAAAGTTGCAAGAGTATCTTTTCGAAATCCAGATTTACAGCGGTGTCTCTCGCGTGTTTCCTCGCTTTTGTTCCCGGTTTCGTTACTTCTGCCTGCCTGTTCTTCTATTACTTGCTCCTACTTTTTTAAGTCCATACGATGATTAATGTTGGCGGTTTGGCTTCGTTCGCGAAAATATTTTTCTCCTATTTTTATCGCAAACCGAGCATACGAATGTTGCTTTCACGTAGCGAGTATGGTAGAAGAGAAACAATTTTGCGACCCTTGTATTTTCTTTTTCAATCCCGGAAAATTTCCTTCGCGGTACGAAAATGGAACCAGGGTAATTAAGGAAGCGAATAAAAGGATTATCGTATATGTGTCGAACGAAAGTGAAACTAGGGTGATAAAAGAAATAAATATTCTTTACGTTCGTGTAAAGCGGGTTCCCATAGGTCGGATTATACAACCGTGACTCGCCATTTGTTCGAATCCGGGAATAAAAAAAGAATTCGAGCCATTGGAGGGGTCTTTGCGAGAATAGACGTCTGGCCAGCCGCGTGTTGGTGCCTGGAACGTATTGTACGCTACTTTATCGGAGGATGCTGAATTTTTATCCATCCCCTGTGCAAATAGAGGCCATGTAGGGCCATCCGGCATGGTCGTTCTTTAAAATGCATGCCGCCCTTAAATCAGGACAACAATAATTGTGTCCACTATGCGGACATGCCTGGTCGTATTTGGAATATTTGTTGCTTCCTTACCCTCTGCTTTCCAGCCCATTCTTATCTGTCAAATCTGCTGACTCTTCGACTCTATGCCGACGTGTGCTTAAAGGACGAAACTCGCTTTCGCAAGACACATCGACACAGTGGGATTTATATAAATAAATTTACCCCGCTGACGCCGTATGAATATCTATCAACTACGAATTACCGAATTGGGAATAAAAATTGAACGAAAAGGGATATAACATGGCGCGGTGTATAAGGGAGGTTGCGAACAATGGGAACGAAAGCATAACGAGTATCGAAATGAACAACAACGTTGTCGTGGTGTACGCCAATTTACGCGTGGAGTGAATTCTGGTCGATCAACAGGGGGACTCCGAACGCCACGGACCGAAGTGGAGGGCGAAGGGAGGCGAAAGGGAGGATACACCCCCCGCGAACTCGAACATGAATTAAAGTTTTAATTTCTCTAAATCACTGTTCGCCCTCGAGCGCTTTCCACCAGACGGTCCGTTACTTATGGCCTTTGCCCTTTTTACCGCCTTCTTTTTTTCCCGTTCGCCTCGATCTTACCACCGTCCAACCCTCGCCAATCGGCAGAAATCGATATGCACTTATCCGATGACTCTTGAGACCCGAGGCCTCTTTCGCTTCTCTCCTTCCTCTGCCCTCGGCCTTACCTCCGCGGCCATAACAGGCCAGAAATCCAGCAGATTTAAATTTCCACGGAACAACGATGTCGTTAACATCCCCCGGAAACCACTCGAAACTAATCTCCAAGACCGCTTCGAGCTAGGCCAAAAATTTTTCTCGGATCTACTCGAATATTCGTGTTCAGGGAAAAGATTACAATTCGAAGGGAAGTTAAATATACATATAATAATCGTGTCTAAGAAGCACAGAGAAATTTGAATAAAAATAATTGAATTATCAAATCTACGTATTATTATTACTATATGGAGGATCAATTTTAACCCTTTGCACTCGACGATATTTTTAAAACAGTAAATGAAAAATCGTGTGCAAATTAAAATGCAGAATTATTTTACTTCGACATTCCACGCATTGTTTGGCAATTTTAAATTTTATATATTGATTAATATCGATCGTTAGAATCCGATTAAATGGCGAATAAGAATCACCTCTCGAGTGCAAAGGGTTAAAGTTCGTTGAAATTAAAACGGAAATAAAATTTTCCTATTTGAATACACGCATATGTACTTATAATCCCAGAAACACTATCAAACACTCTAATTTATATTTGGATTATCTGAAAAATAAATCTCACGTTACCTTCCTGTCACTAGTATCTCCTCCCACTTAGACTATTCGATTCTTCCAAACCACTTAAAAATTCGAAATCCGAGAAAAAGTAGCACGAAGAATCAAAACAAAGTCACACTATCAGATGAAAACACTTTCTTCGTTATCTTGTAATTTTTGCCGATAGAATAACGTCCACTTCGACTCATGGATCATGGAATGAAATATAAAAATGGCACTTGAAAATTCGAAATCGGAGAAAAAGTTTCACGAACGACAGGGGAATGTATCGAAATCGATTTCGAAGCGGGTTGCTCGCGCTCGGCCCGCTTGATTCGCCCTCTGTGCCGATGGCGGCGCGCGACAGGGTGAAACCGGGGGTTGTTCATTTAAAATCATGACATCGAGCGTGGGGCGCAGTCACGGCGTAGGCGTTAGTATTAACGTTAGGTGGCTGGCAGACCAGGGCCACCTACAAGAACTTCGTACACCGGTTTCACCCCCTTACCGCCGGTGACATATTGTTTCCATTCTGCTCTCGGGGCTAGAGCGCAATAAAAAACCGGCATAAATATCGCCGCCCCCGGCGTGCCGCGACACCGATACCGGGTTGTGGCCCGCGTAAGAACGAACAGGCCCCGAATACCGGCGGTCTACAATTACGTGGAAATGTTCTTTCGCGCGAGAGAGAAACGGCCGGGGGACTAATTTGTCTGAGTGGCTTTTTCGACGGTTAAAGGGCGCCGCGGATCGCGAGCAACCATCTTTCCGGCCCTTGTGCATTTGTAATGCTGTATGGTATTGTTATGTGTTCGCATGTTCGCGTGGAGGAACGAGAGGGTGATACGTCGCGCCGTTTAATTGAGAGATGGTGTATTCCTGATTTTATCGATAATAAATATTAATTTCAGGGGATTTCTAAAATTTTTCTTTAATTAATTGGGTGTGTTTATTTCTACTGTCATGAAAATATAATTTTTACATACGATTTAATGTATTATTTAAATGGCAAATAGGAATATTGCAGTATTCCTTATAAGGAATTTTTTTAGAATTGATTTTCTTGTGCAGACTGAAGAAATGTTCTGTGCACTGTTATTATTATAATGCTAAAGAAGAGTACTTCCAATGATAAATATAAATTTATATTATATAGATTTCATTGGTGACGTGCTGTCTGAGAAATTGCTCCTTATACTACTCGAGAATGGATACTTCGGATACTACACTGAATATTTTAATTTAAGGGATCAAGTAGACCCTTATACTGGAAACCTCCATTACGAATTTAGTGAGCTATGAATGTTTCGATCATTTTCAGAGATTTAAAAATGGACTTGACTCCTGGCGTACTTTTAAAAAGTGACGAAGACAACTCTAGGTGGCAGAATACTTGCTGAATTTATTACAATTATCAAAGTGGCAAATTACATGTAGAATTTAAGTTCCAAGTTTTCTTAAATCGGGAATAATTCTCGACATGAATTATATACCCTTCGGGGTATGAAGCGTCGCTTACTCCTTATCAATACTCGAATAAGTTTCAAATAAAATTCTACTTACAGCGTGACAGGTTCCTCAGGGCTCGAGGGGGAAATTGAGAGCGACATGGTGGTGGTTAAACATCGTGATGTACCTGGCGACCTGACTCGATCATCCACCTGAAATTAGAATGAAAATTGTCAGTAACTATAATCAAACATTCACGCAAACATTTTTACATTTCACAACTTTCCCAGAATTTCTACAATAATCTATTCTACGAATTCAACGAAGAAGGAATTAATTTGCATACCAGTACCACATAGTAAGTATTGGTATCACGAAATATGATTTTGGACTAGCTATGATGCACTGTATGGAGTCTCGTCTCATTTGGTGGTCCTATTTCAAGGATTATGCACAGGGTGGAATTGAAGGATACGGAAGAAATACTTTCCCGTGCACTTTCCGAATTCTTTGCACGATCCTTGCTGTCGTCAATGGGGAATTGAGCAACAGGTAGACCAGATATGTCCTCGAGGCATCATGCTCGACAGAGCATACGCGTGATTTACCGTATAAGTGACTCATCGAACGCGCCCTTTTTTTCCTTATCTTCGCGTTGCTACTCGAAACGAAACGCGAAGGAAATAATTCTTTTACTTAGGCCCTGTCTTGGGGAACGGAAACCGAGAATTTATACCCGAGGGTAAAGCTCATATTTCCTGATAAATTATCAATTTCAATGCTGTAGCAGCTTTATTACACCGTTATTTGGAGTTCCTATATTATAATCACATAATCGTAAATAAATCAGAAACACCGTTGTAAAGAAATTTATTTTTGCACGAATTTATTAAAATATCCGCTAATGTCCGAATTTACATTGCGCTATGATCGTCTCGATTGTCCACCAATTCGTTGCAACTTTGCGTAGCGTTACGAAGTTAACCAACAAATTGATATCTAAATCAAAGTCCTGCAGAGACAGCCATCTGATTTTTCATTCTCCCTGCGAATTCCAACGATCCTTTTAATCGAGAGGCTGGCAGCCAGGCATAATCGCGATTGGCGCGAGCTGACAAATTCAGTCGAAATTGAGCAACTTCGGTCCCAACCCTCCGTTTTCCAAAGAAATATTACTGCCATATTTTTCTCCGGTGAACGATGACTGAAGCTCTCCCGCGATTTCCAAGGGATTAATAATGGCAGTAGAGCGTTCTACGACAATCGTAGAGAGAAACAAACGCAGCCCCGGGCAAGTGGACCAGGCTCGCGCCGACATCAATCTGAACGAGCGAGCCGCGCCCCTAACGAGCCACCGAGTCATATAAATTTTATTGCCATTTCATAAATCCCGCCAGCCACCGCGAGTAACCGTTCCCGGTGCTGTCTGCGAGATTATCAGGAACGTATAAAGTTGCGGTTCGTCGCGAGGTTACTGTCTTTCGCGACGCTTCCGGCGCTGCCTGTGAAAACCGTCGCGAAAATGCCTGACGTTTACTACTGATCGAACATTATCGTTTGGAAATATCGAAATTCAAAATGTTTCGGATTATCTTCGATTTTCAATTATTCCAAATACCATGGACTGACTTGAATTCCACTATTGCTTGAATTGAAAATAAATTTCAACAAATTCTGCATTAATATCCACCACAATTTACTAAATTTAAGAATAACGATTTGTAAAATTTTACTGCGTGAAATTAATTTCCTATATTTATTCGAAATATAACAGACATCGCTGTTAACACTAATGATATTTTACTGTCAAATATTACGTCAAATTTAAGTGGAAGGAATTAAGAACAAGAGCGCAAGTGGAACAAGTACTCCATGGTCAGACACGCGACAGAAAGTTGAACAAACCTAGCCGGAAAATTTCAAAAATTCATTTTATCGAGAAGTAAGCTTCGCGTAGAAACTTCAACGCACATTTGCGAAGAAGGAACTGGCTTTTTGCTGTACCACAAATTACTCGACGTTCGGAGGATGCGTCTGAGCCATACGAAGCACGTATTTCAATTTTAAGACGCAGATATAAATGTAAAGCACCGCGCGAGCAGGAACCGGGAGAATGGAAACGACAGGATTATATTTATAATAAATAAGACAGGAGTACGTACGCGAGAGAAGAAAGCAGGAGCACAGTTAATTCAGTTTTATACGACAACACTTCCGATCCACGGTAAGCCGGCGACAGTCTCGAGTTCCATCCCTCGCGTTCTCTTCATCTTAACGCAAAGACGAACCAAAACCTGATTTACATTTCTTTCTCTCCTCGCTATAAAAATTCCGCGACGATAACTTCCTTTGTTCCACCCTCTATGGTCTCCGGGACCGGCAACCCCTGCGGCTGGCAAGCCACGGGGAGTCCCCATAACACCGACTAGTTTTCGGTTTACATTACACTTTTTTCCCTTAATTAAAGACACCGAGGACTCTGCCTTGCTAAAAATTATAACCCTGCCTCGTGTCGTATAACGTATTAAGATAATCAATCGCGTCGAGTTTAATTAACTCGATTATGAATCTCGACTCTACACGGAAGTGATACCAAAAATTTAATTTTTTCCTCGTATGTCTCAAAATTAAAATATTTTTATCGAATTAAATAACAACACAACGGGGTATATCTCTCGTATAAAAATTAGAAAAATCGATTGACACGGAATAAGGGTTAATAATTTAATTCTCTAACCAATCACTCCAATTCTCTCGTTTCCAACAATTTCCTGTCTCACGAATTCCACACTCGCCCCAGCTTCCCAGAGTATCGCAGTCGCGTCCCAGAGTATCTGCATCGCCATCGAATCCACGTAACAACACTCGAAACTGTCGATCATCCGTTCTGTCGGTGAAATTGCCAACGAAACGAGGAGCCAAACACCAGGAGGAAGCGGGAGAGAGAGAGCGAGATAGGATCGAAATGTAATTAAGAGAGCAAATAATCCGAGCCGAACAAACTCCATGAAATGGATCAAAGAACTGGAAAGCTGGAGCGAGAGGGTGTAGCAGGGGGTAGAAAAAGGAAGGACATGTACCGATAGAGGCGCGTCGCTGAAAGGTAGCAGGACGAGGTACGAGCAGGCTGCTCCTCCCTGTCGTCGTGCTGTCTAGCCCGAAGGAGTAGGGCAACGAGGGGCCTCGGCAAAGACCCTCGATAAATATTTCCGTCAAGTGACCGGGGTTGGAATTCAAAGAGAGCCGAAAGGTGGAATCGAGAGCGAAACGAGTCCATCCTCTCTTCAGCCGGCAGTTCAAGGGACGGTCGACGAGGAGAACGATGGAAGGACGGTTGGACGGGGTTGGCCGGGGTGGGCTGGCAGGCCGGTATATTTGCGTTGCGTTACGTAGTTGCGCGTTTAATCAGCCGTATACCCGGAAAGGGCGCGTGTGACAGAGGGAAGAAGGAAAAGAGGAACCGCCTCGACTTCCGGATACCAAAGAAGGACGGGATTTGAACAGCCTCGTACCTTTTGTGCGGCCGAAGAGACTGCATTTTGTTTACTACTGGACTCTGCTTCGTCGTCGTCTACCGATCCGACGTGGATCATTGTGCTCTCTCGTTTTGCTATTTACGCCGCTCTTCTTCCCCGGATGCAAAGTGTACGCGAACACGTTTCACTCCAAGTCCAGTTTTTCCCGAGTTTTCCTTCGTCTCCGGACTCGATGGCGTTCGCGCGTGTTGGGAAAGTTCTCGTTGAAACGCACGCTGGCTATGTTTTACCCTCAACGCTCTCACTTTTATCGAAATTAACCGAATTAACTGAATACGATATCGTAGAATTCCTTTTGCAGGCGATATGCTTTCTGTGATACTTATTTAACGTTGAATCTCGCGTTTCAAATATGACATGACGATGAAGATTCGTGTTTAAAATTTTGTATCAACATGGACTAATTAATAGCTAACAATTGCTATCGACTTTCACTGTCAAGATGAGAAGATGAAAGTTTCTTGCTATTCCTGTTTAATTACGAGTACTTGGCAAGATGTCGCGATTAGTAGGTTTTAAAAAGGTGTTGAATTTTGTAACTTATCGATGTACTTTTATGACTGTTAGGTCTCGCTGTCGTGTTCGTTGATACGAGAAAATAGGAGAGGAGGCGAAGGAAAACAGAGGAGATGGCGCCTACGAGACGTCGATGGCGTGACAGATTGCCTCCAGTATTTTCCACCACATACATCATCGGCATCCGCCAGCCCTTAGTTCTAGTTCAATGCTCACCGCCGTCGTCTCCCTTAATTGGCATCACCTACACCAATCTACCTGTGCCGTCGTTCAGAAAATTCCCTACCACGGTTAGTTACGGTAGATTATATTTGGAGGAATGTTCCTGGCAAATGATCGACGAAAAACCGCGCTTAATACTTTTTATCTTATTTTACACCTACTTCGTGCTCCATTCAATTTTTCTTCATTAATTTTTCACTGTACTAACACGTTCCGTATCGTATGGAAAATTTTCTATTACATATTTCCTTGGCAATAATGATTTTCACGATTTTATAAATATATGACAATGTGCGTATAGTACGGCGAATAGAAAGTCAGAAAAATTCGATCTAACAGGGAACATCGTAACAGGATTTCCATTTCGAATAAATATCTGACACGTTCATAACGCGTGACTGGTAAAAATTTCAAGATTAATTAATGCAACTGCGAACCGGACAACTTCGAAATGCGTATATCAAATCGGGAAATAAACCATCGTTAATTATCCCAGTGGCAACGGGGCCGATTTTCGCATCAAACTAAGCGCGTAATATATCGACAAGGAAGCAAAGGGTCAGTGACAAACTGCAGACCGCACTTTCATCGTCAGGGATACGATTAGGGAAAAATTCGTGCTGTTTTAATGGGGAGTGAAAATTAAATACCGCGGTGTCCACCCCTTAGGTCCGGCCACCTAATAATTCATACGAGGAATGTAAAAAGGGCGAGCCCTTCTCGTGCTACGGCCGCGACCACGCGGCGAAGAAGAGCGAGAACGAGAAAGCCGAAAAGGGGGTAGAAAAATACGAGCTCGTGTTTATCTTGAGATTTGTAGCCGCCCTGTTCCCGATATTTATTGGCCTTCCAGGAACGGGCGATGCCACGGCCTGACGGACCGTTAAATTTTATTATGTTTTTTTCACCGATGCCGAAATAACGCGTCACTGAATATG